AAATTGATGTTAATTACAATAATCTTTGTTATTGTCGAGATGGTTTTAAATTATTGTGTATATACTGTTAATATCATATAAAGTATGAGTAAATACATAAATAGTCGTGACCTAGTGATAACAACAATAATAGGACAGCTCAAAGTGGTTCTCACAGCTAGAATGGCTGGATAAAAGAGAAGATTGTTTAGCCTGTCTTTCCTCCAAAAATCCGCCATTTTACCACTTTTTTCTGTGGCGCGTTAATTAGAATTGGTTAAGTGCTAAAGGTCCATTGTAAGTCATCACGACTAAATAGTCATCATGACTATTGATAGTACCCAATAAGTATGTCGGTCCTACTAATTGCCATAGGTTGACATAAAACATGTTGTTACGACATATTAAACACGTTGTTACGACGTTTTTATGTCGTGTCGACGTAAATTACGTCAACACGAACGTCATAAGGTAGGGATATAATTTTGAAACATTTAAAATGGGCTTGCCATACACCCCAATGAAACAGGATGCGCTCGATCCTTGGCACCGGAAGTGATGTAGTGTGACGTTTACACTACACGTGTATAAGCATGGCACAAGCAAAATAGTGAAGAAATCCAGTTGAATTACTTACTAAAGCTCAGGTCTACGACTATACTATATATATTCTAGTTCTAAAAAGTGAAGATCTACTATTACAAGAAAGAATGCACTGTGCTAAGTACTAAAAAAATTATTATTTAAATTATTATCATTATAACTGTTGATGATTATTCTATTCTTCAGTGACCCAATAGATTGATTATTATTATGAGTCCTTCAACAAATTTTAACTATAAAAATAGCAATAAAAACATTGACAACAATTATTATAAGCCGAACTTACTGTATCACCATACAGTACATACTGTAATGTACATCATCTCTATCTTGATAGTTCTCTGTGGTAGCATAAATATAAAGCTTTACAATCATGTAACAATGTCTCATCAATGCCACTGAAATCCTGCTTGTGTTTCTTGGTAAATAACCTATTCTTTCACTACTCAGTTCTCACTAAAAATTAAACCACACCCTTTGAAACACTTGCAAAAAATATATTATTACTTTTGAAACATAGCATCTAGAAAAATGAAACCATAAACAGTCTATATAAGAGGCCTTAATGAATACACTCAAAGTAGTAACTTGTTCATACCTGGTGCAGAAGTCTCAAAAAGGTGGTTACAAAATTAATATTAAAAAAACTAGTTTTTGGCTATTATCTCAGTCATTTCTCATTACATTGACACGAGAATAGTTTCAGTCCATGTAACGAACAATACACTATTATGATTCCAAGACTTACTAGTCTAGCTAACTCCGTTCGAGAGTCTAGAAAAGGTGGTTACAAATAAAAATGGAGGTCTTCTAATTTTGTCATGTAAACATGAGGCCTGTTGACAAAATGAAATGAGAATATATTTATTAGGTCTACTAAACAAAACAAAAACACCTATATACCTTCTTTCACAAAAATAAGTGAGTCAAGAAAATTCTTGAAAACATAGACAGAGAGAAAAGCGCCAAGGATAGAGCTATGCTGGTTATGACGTTTACAGGTGAACTTCAAGAGTTAATTGCATACCGACTTCCTGTTTCATATCCATGTG